GGGGCTGCAGGGCTCTGAGGGGAGTGGTGGTGGTGCCAGGCTGTCGCCTCCTAGAACCTGGTGCTGCCCCACGCCCAAGGCCAGGGCCAGGGCCGAGAAAGGGCTCCTGCTCAGGAGACTCGAGGGAGCCCCAGCTTGGGGAAATCAGGGTGCACCAAGGTGTGTGTAGACACATCTGAGGCAACTGGGGCAGCCTGTAGCCCCTGTACACGTACAGATGGCGGGGTTCCTGTGGCCAGGGCCCCAAACCACGCAGAGCCCCGACTGCCTCAGGGTTGGCTCTGCGACAGCTGGAGACTGTCCTAGGTGGAAGTCTCAGTCTCGGGGACGGGGCTCAGATGTGTCACTTCTAGGCAGTGAGGCCGCACTGCAAGGCATGGAGGGATGGGGGCTGCTAAAATGCTGCCTGCAGGAGCTGAGGCAGAAATGGGGGAGGGGGGAGAAGAGCAAGGAGAGGGAAGGCAGGTATAGCACCCCACCCACAACCCAGGCAGCCCTAGCTGCCCCAGCCACCGTGCCCATCCTATAGAGCACCCACTCCCACCCCCAGCAGGTGGGACGCCACTACCCATGGGGGCACTGGCCCAGAGATGAGATTTTATTGACGACGGGGCAACCAGCTATAAGCCTGGGCCCACCCCAAACACCCCTGGCCCCAGTGGGGTGACCCTGAGCCACCCTTCCCTTTGTAGAAAAATAGGCATTCCCCCACAAACACACTACAGGGGAGCCAGGGGGCCCTGGGCTTGTGGCCGGAGTGGAGCTGCTGCCCCCTAGGAGAGCAGCTGCAGCACCTGGCGGATTCGGTGGGCCTGCCCCAGCAGCTGGGGGTCCTGGCCGGTTGCCGCAGCCTCATCCAGTGCCAGCATGCGGGCCTCTGCTTTCTGCACGGTCAGCTCTCGGGCCTGGCCCTTCAGCCCCTCCAGGTAGGCCAGCAGGGTGGGGAAGTGCTCGTCAGGAACCTGGATGGGGACAGAGGGACAGTCAAGAGCAGGCTGGACTAAGAAGCCTGCAAGGCCACGCTGGACCCAGAAAGCTGGGGCGGATCGCCAGTGCCTCCCCTGTCCCTCGTGGCTGAATGGCAGGAGCAGAGGCCGGTGGGTGGCCAGGACCTAGTGGACAGAGCTCCTGTCTCAGCTGTGTCCAAGTAGAGCCCGAAGGCCATGGACAGCACTGCTCATGAGGGTCTGGGGGAGGAGTGGGAGTGGGAGGGGGGGATGGCTATGTGGTGCCTGCTCCATACAGAGGTATGGGCCCCACCCAGCAGTGTGAAGACCCCGAACCCCAGATTCCAGAACTGGGGGCACAGGTTGTTTACAGAAACAGGAATAAAGTTGAGAAGGGTGGAAAGTCCATTTAAGAAAAAGTCGGACGTTTCTCATGTCCTGATTTAAAAACTTCCCGCAAAGCGATCATCTCCAAGGTAAGGAGGTCCCAGCCTGGCCATGGCTGTGCTGACCCACAGAGTAGACCAGACACCTGTGCTCAGCTGGTTCCCTCCAGGCTGCTCAGTCCCCTTAGTGAGCAGTGCTGGGGCCCCTGGACCCCAAGCCCTGGTCAGAACCCCCACGTACACCTGAGCGGTTCCTGACCCATGGTGACATGCCCCCGGGGTGGGAGACCCCCCCCCCCCAGGGCGGCTGGTGGGCATGCAGGGGTCCACCATGGTGCCAGCTAGCCCCACTATCCCTCAGAGAACCTGCCGCCCCACCCCCTGCAGACCTTGTCGCTGTCGTACATGTGCACCAGGAGCCAGGTCTGCCTCGCCTTCCTGAACTTCCAGTCTCGCTGCTTCTGGGCCCAGCTGGAGACAAGGGCAGGGTGGGGTCAGTACCTCCCACTGGGCAGCCCCACCCAGACTGTGCCCACCCTCAGGCCAGCGCAAGGGCGGGAATGGACTGTGGCAGCCTGTGGTGACATTCTGGGTGGCTGGGTTTGGTCACTGTCATTGGATCCAGCTGCTAAGGGAACACTTCCCAAAAGAACAGGCAGGCAGGCCAGCCAGGCTATAGGGAGGCCACCACTGATGTGACCTCAGGCCGGCCTGCTGCTCCAGGGAAGGGGACTCCTGCTGGCTGGGCCAGACAGGGTTTCGGCATCAAAACCCAGGCTGATGGGGCTCTGGATATGCCCTACCCCTCATCCCCCAGCAAGAGCTGGGTGCCCTCCCCCGAAGCACCCAGGACAGGGCCTCAGCCATTCTAGGCTGCCCCTTCTGAGCCCCCACAGCCCACCCACCCTGAGCGCCTCACCTGCGGAGGTAGTCTAGGGCCAGCGAGCCCCCTGAGGGGGTGGGCCCCGGGGCAGGCGGGGTCTTCGGGGCAGGGAGACCCCCTGCCTCCCGCAGGAGCCGCTTCTCCTCCTTCCTGCGCTCCTTCTTCTGCTTCCGCTCCAGGGCCCGCTGCTCTGCCGGGGCCAGCACCACACTGTCCACTGCCCCGATCTGAAAGGCATGGGCCCCAGCCTGTCAGGCCCTGGGGAAGAGAGCCCCCTGGGGCACAGGGCTAGGCGGGCACTGGGTGACCGGCCAGATAGGATGGGCCCCAGGCCCCCAGGTCCCGGCCTGGCTGGGCTTGACGTGCTGTGCAGTCTGCAATCACAGACGCTTTGGGAGCCCACAACACAGGACTGTCCAGTGCGGGTCTGATCATTACCTTACAGGGATCAGAGCCGCTCTTTCTACAGGTGACGATCGGCTTGTTGGGAGACCCGTGTCTGCACCCCAATTGCCCCCTGGCCCGAGCCAGTGGCCTTGTGTCCCTGCTCCCAGTCAAGGCCATTCCCCATCCACTCCCAGTGCTAACAGGCCACAGTATCTGGGCAGGTGGAGTCGTGGTGGGTGGGGAGCTGTCCTCGCACTGTCTTCCTGGGAAAATCTGGACACCTTGCTCCCCTCTGGGCTGGGCCAGGATCCCAGATGCAGAGCACTCACCTGCCGGCCTTCTCGGAACCCACCCCAGCAGCAGCAAGCCCTCCCACTTAGTAAGTCCCTCTTCCAGAATCTTCCATGACTCCCTCAGGGCAGTGCTATGTGATCTGGGGTGACCATGAGGGACACCCCTACCTTAGCCCCCTCCTGGAGTTGTCTGTGAGGCCCCAACATTTCCAAGACCAGAGGGCACAGTTGCCCCGGTCCCCTGCCCTGGTACTTCTGAATCGCCTGGAGGCAGGACTTAGCTACTAGTTTAGAAATGGACTAGAAATTGCCAGTTTTTGAAAACACTGACCAAGAGGGGGACGCCCGCCTCACCAATTTGAAAATGAGCTTTATCCAAGATCACTGTAGGCTATCGACAGCTGAGATCCCCAGTCATCAGATGACCCTACCCACCCAGTGGTGCTAGCACCCCAGGACCAAGCTGCCCTGGCCTGCAGGCCCTGGGCACTCACAGAGATCCAACCACAGAGGATGGAAAGAGGGGCTGGGGTCTGGTCAGCCAGGGCATGGAAGACTTTCAGTTACCGCCCCCCACCCCCACCCCCACCCCAACCCTGACCACTGCCCAGCCTCAAACCTGCCCAGCCCTGAGCAGGGGCGGATCTCACAGCTGGCTGGAGTGAGGACTGCAGGTGCAAGTGCGGCAGTGGTGGCAGCAGGCTTCTCAGACTGAGGGCCGGGCTCGGCGCAGCTCGGAAGCAGACGCGGGCCCTGCCCTCGGGGAGCTCACAGCTGGTTACGTGAGCTCCTGGAGGACAGGGACTGCGGCTACCTCGGGGTCCCAGCACCGGGGAGGG